AAGAATTTAATTCAATAAAATTCAAATATGAGACTTCTTTGTAATTACATAACCTCTCTTTCCATTGGATTTATACATCAGGGATCAACAACAATGGCCCATGACTGAAAACTGACTCTCTGTTTTTGTAAATAAAGTTTTATTAAAACAGAGCCACACCCATTCATTTACATACAAGATTGCTTTTGAGTTACAACAAAGTTAATTAGCTGCAAAACCAAAAATATTTACTATCTGGCCCCTTATAGAAAGAGTTTCCTAACCTTTGTTCTTAATAATAAGATGTACACCTGGAATAGTTAGGAAGAGTATCACCAGTAGTACATGGAAAGAACCCAATGGAAATGAAGTCAACACAAAAGAAAAAAATAACTCCAAATATTATGAAAGTTTTCAAATTCAGATGGGCCAGAACTGTTAAGCTCCAATATTTTTCAGTTATGTAAGCCTATCAATCCAGCTTTTTCCCAAGCAAGTCTGAATTGGGTTTCCATCATTTGAATTCAAATTGACATTACATAATGCTCACTGTAGGAACACAACTCTGATTTCTTCCTCCATTATCTATACAACAATAGCATAAAGACATTCGACATTTCTTTAGACTAGAATATCACTGAGTGCTAAAACCTATACTTTATATAATGATTAGCTAAAACATGATGAAATCAACTGATTTGAGGGTTTGTTTGTTTTTTAACCAACCATCTTGAGTTGTTCTTGAACAATGAAAAAACAAAAAGAATGGAAAACCTAATTGATCCCTTCCCCCAAACCCAACACTAAATAATCAAACATAGATCAACTGGGATATAAATATAAAAATGAAAGAGAGATGTCACAACTGACATCTCCCTGAATTAAACAAGGGGAACACTCTGAAACCAACTAGGAAAAAAGATGTTTTTTCCCTTACCAAAACCAAAACTCCGAAGAGAACAGATTTACTAGTAACTAATTGGGGAAATGGTGATTAAAACTGGAGTTTCTAATTGTCTACTGAGCGTATGTCACCAGTAATGTTCCCTACAGGCTCTCAGCAATGGGAGACAAAATTAAGCCTAATATTCCCGCCAATTACACAATCATCATTTGCCTGTAGGTATCTCTCTCTCTCTTTAGAGAACTATAAAACACATAGTGGTATGGTTTCAAATGCAAGCTATATGCTCCTCTGAGAAAAATAATTTTATATTATGTTTATAAACAGAATTATTTTGTATTTAAACTTGTTTTAATGTGTACATTCTGAAGCAAGGAGATGTTTTAACAGCACAGCTTTCCATCTGCAGAAGCCAGATGTTAATCTATGGGAAAACTGAAGTGATTAATAAGAAGACCAATTATACACGGAGAACAAATATCAACTGGTGGGAAAAGGGAGAAGAGAGAGGCTTAAAACGAAGTTGGTGGCAAACAAACAACAAATCCCATCAATAATAGCGGGCTTTCCAGCTATGCTAAGAATAGTATGCCTTGACAGGATTTTTCTTCCTGGGTATTTCCTCCCCTATGATTCAAGAGAGTCAGAGAAAGTATTATAAAAATGAACTTTAGGGTTCTTAGGAGAAAATTTCTCTCAATTAAAATGAAAAACAAATATGCTTAGGACTAGACATGGATTCAAATTCTAGCTTTGCTACTTTGACAGAGACTTTTTACCAATCCACTGTATTCTTGCTCTTTTTCCTTGAAGTGATAAGATGCCCTGGGGACTGGGTAGGCCCATAGCTGCTATGCACAGCTTGGATTTCCCATCCTTCTTTGCAGATTGATGTGGCCCTACAATTATATATGGACCAATGGAAGTGATATGTGCACCTTCTCGGTCTGGGATATTTTCATCTCCATTATCTGGCTGGAAAATGGCAATTACTGGAACAACCTGGGAAGCCATGGTTGAGGATGGCAGAACAACCCTGTAAGCATGGACTGCTCACTTCTGACCAATGAAGGTAAAATAAACTTTTATCTTATTTAAGCCCCTGTATTTCAAAGTCTCTTTGGTATAGCAACCTATCCTGTATCCTACTAAAATAGCTAATTATATCTATACCACTTGGGAAAGTGGTTTAACCTCAGTTTCCTCATCTGTGAAATAGAATCACAATATTTATTTTGTAAGGCACTAAGATAAATAAATGGATTAAGAGATGTGCCAAATATGTGCCTTACACCCACACAAAAGTGCTCATGTAATGGTAGATGACAATAGCAAAGATGAAGGACTAGTTAGGAAACTGCTTTCAGAGGCCTTTGAAATCAAGCAGCTACTGTGCCCACAAAGCCCTAAAGGCAGAAACATGTATCTGCTTTTGAGTTTCTATTAGTAATAACATAATGAGGGGAAAATCAGGAATATTTTACATTTTAGCCCAGGAAAAGAATTCAAGTTAAATAATGTTTGATTAGAGTTTAGCACTGTGCCAAAATTTTTAAATAATTCTTAAATCATGCTATTAGCAGATGTTATGCAAATACTAGTTATTTGTTTATTTTTACTTGATTGGACTGAGTTCCATCTATACTAATAATCTATACTAATAATAAACATGCAAATTATCTGTTACAACGTCATGTCATGACCGGATCAGCAGGCTGCGTCCCGCCCCTCTGCTCAGGCGGCTGCAAGGCCTGGGGTAGGATAGGATACAATCTGAGAGGATATGAAAGGAGAGGGAGAGGAGGGCAGGCCTGTACACAGGCTGAGAGGAGAAACAGAAATACAGAAAGGGAACAAGAAAAAAATGCAGGAATGGAAAAGGGAAGGAAACTCGGGGCTGCATCCGGAGGGAGTGGTGACCTTGGGGGAGGAGGAGAGCAGGTGTGCCGGGCGAGAGGCAGGGTGGTAGCCCCCAGCGCAAATCACTGGCAGGGAGGCGCTTATGGGTCCAGAAGAGAGTGGTGGACGGTTAGAGGCCTTCTGGACAAGGCACTCCTGCGTCGTGGTGGCAGCAGCAGCACCAGGCTTTGCAGGCCTCAGCCACCCTCACTAGGTCGGGTGTCCTGGGAGCAGGACCAGGGAGGCGGGGGAAGGGGAAGCAGCAAACACCTGGCTGAGGCTGAGCCCTGGGCTGGGGGTTAGCAAACTCCCCCTACCCCCAATGGAAGCTTTAAGAAGGGAGGGAGGGAAGAACTTTATAAAGGAGTCAGTAGAGAGCAGAGTTAAAGAAGGAAAGACATGTATCAATGAATTGTAGGAGCTATAATGAAAATCAAGTATAGTTGTGAACTGGAGACAGATTTTTAAAAAGGAGTCAGAAAAAAAAAGATAAATGATAGTGAATAATTAGGCAGATAGGTAGATAGATATTAAAACAGTAGAATTAAGTAGAGAAGAATGTATGGGAAAGGTAGGATGAGAGAAGGAAGGAAGGAAGAAAAGTTTTAAAGGAGAGCGGGTAGAGCTTAAAAGGAAAATGGGAAGAAAGAAGAAATGGGGGGGAGGAGGAGGGAGCAAAGCAGGTCCAGGGGACCAAGTGAAGAAAAAAATTAAGGTGGGAAGGAAGGAAAGGGGGAGGGAAGGGATAAAGATAAAGAAAAGAAGGAATATGGGGAGGGAGAGAGGGTAGGAGAAAGATGGGAAGAAGGATGATGGAATAGAGGTATGAAATAAGGAAGAAAGAAAAGTGTATAAATGATAAATCAGTAGGAAAAAGTGTTACATAAAGGAGAGAGAAAAACTGTGTGAGAGGGAGCAGCCAATAAGGAAGTCAAAAACAATTGTGTGTGTGAAGGGGATAAGATTTTTAAAAATTTAATAGGGGTGACCAGGCCAGTAGGGGATGGCAGTTAGGGGGATCAGGCAGGTAGGCAGGCAGAGTGGTTAGGAGCCAGAGGTTCAGGATTGCGAGAGAGATGTCCAACTGCCAGTTTAGGCCCAATCCCAAGCCTAAACTAGCAGTTGGACATCCTCCGAGGGCTCCTGGATTGGAGAGGGTGCAGCTCGAGCTAAGGGAAACACCCACCCCTGTGCACAAATTTCGTGCACCAGGCCTCCAGTATTTATATGAAAAAATAGCTGAGCAGAAAGGTCAATTAATCAATATAGATCAGATAACCAGGGTAGGCTGAAAAAGAGACACACAAATGAACTGGAATCACCCACACCAGATACCCAGCTTGACACAGAGAGTTCTAGAGTCAGTGAAGGCCATGGCCTGATGTCCCCTGCATACATTTTACCTCCTCTGGATAGTGCTTTTGCAAGTAATAATTACTGGCCCTCTGACAGTGTGGACTCTTTCTATCTTTTACTGGTGGGCCATGGTTAAACTGCCCTCTTAGGATTTCTGCAACCTTGCCACTTGCTAAACGCTGGGGTTGATATCTTTGGCATCAAGATCAGAAGATTACCCTGACTCTAGGGACTTCCCCAGGGCTTTTGCGTGGGTCTCATATGTCATAAGATGCAGGAAAACCACAAGATTACACCACCCAGCAGAGGCCAGCATCTCTAAAATGGGAACATGGATCATATTATCAAACTTAACCCCTTCCATGGACCCTGATAACTCCACTGTGTATAATGGGATGTTGGCTACTATGGCAAAAGGAGGCTGAACCAAAAGGGAGTGAGAAAAGATACTGCACAATCTATATACACTCTTAGGATCATTTATCCATTAAAATGGGATTGAAATAATGCTTTGCATCCTACTTCATGGAGGTTATCAATAAATATTCAGTAAGCCAAACTGGACTCTGCCTCCTCTAAGAGCCTTAAGGGTGCTACAACTGTCTCAGTGAAGGGTAAATGTCATGCAGAACCCACACCACAGAGAGAGAGAGAGGCCACAGCTCAGGGCCTGCACCCAAACAGAAGCAAGATCTACATATACAAACATCAGCCCAGGAATGAAAAACTCCCTCCAGTACATGAGTCTCGAGACACCCCCCCCCCAAGGCACTGGAGCACCAGCAACAATCACACTGCACTAGGGAAGCAGCAAACAACTCAGGACCTTTAATCCAGCTCTATTTCCCTGAATTGTACTTACCGGCTCCCGGCCGTCCATGGCTTCCATCCAGAGCCTCCGATCCTCCTCCGACAGAGCCTGCATGGTGATAACCCCCGGCCTGCAGAGATAGAAAGACAAGAATATGAAGCCAGGTAGAGAGATCCTGATGAAGATGAACTTAAAGAAACACCCACCGCCACAGAAGGAGAGATCCCTAGAGATAACAAGGAAGAGAGGCACACTTCTTGGCTTTTCTGAGCCATCTTCCAGTCTCAGAGAGCAAAGGCCTGGTCCTCAGTTCCTCTCTATAAGCCCATGTGCCCAGGGAGGAAACACAGAAGACATGACTCTACTCAGAGAAGGACACTGAGAAGTAAAGAGATGCTTTTAGATCTTGTTTGTTCCTTAAGATCTTATTCATTCCTGTTCTCCAAAATGCTTCACAGAGTGACTAGGGGGAAACATCCAAGCTGGAGAAATGTGGGTGTCTCCTAATAATTCAATGCTTCTAAACTGCTTTTGACATAGAGAACTTTTATGGAGGTAATCAGCTTTGTAAGTCTTATAGTAAGTCTTATAGTAAGTCTATAGTATTTGTGTTGTTTTTGTTCATCCTCACCTCACCAGTCTATAGTATTTGTGTTGTTTTTGTTCATCCTCACCTCACCAGATGATATTTTTTCCACTGATTTTTGTAGAGAGGGTATAAGGAAAAGAGGGAGGGAAAGAGAAAGAAAGAAGCATCAATGTGGGAGAGATCAACCGGTTGCCTCCTACATGTGTCCCAACCTAGACCGGGAATGGAACCTGCAACTCAGGTACATGCCATAGTAGACTGGGAACTGAACCCGAGACCCTTTGGTGTGCTGTGCTGACTGATGCTCTAACCATTTAGCAACAATGACCAAGGCAAAAGGATAGTATTTTTTAAGTGAATACTTGCTATGTCAGATGGTAAAGTTTTACATGCATTTGCTCTTTTACCCTCTCAGTGAAATCTGCTTGCTCTTTCAAATTGAGCACAAACCCTCCAGAAAGCATACACACAATATCAATGGTGTTTGTGGAGTTCCAACTACCGATGGTACTCCAGGAGAAGAGGCCTGTGCCATACAAATGAACCTGGGAGAAACCTAAGCTCATTAAAGCAGTTATTTACTTAGGATCCACAGAGGGGTCCCAGAGAATCCATAAACCACCTTTCCCTCTCTAAATGTCTACATATTTTTCTGTAAAAGCAATTCCAACTATCAGATTGTCAAAGAAGACAGCAACCCTCAAAAGTTAAGAATTGCTTTTATAAACTCTCATCTTGAAAGTTTGAGAAAGCCTAAACGGGAGGAAGAGGTGCACTGTGGAAGAATTAGATCCTGCTACCCTCTGAGTCCACAGCACTGCTGAGGATCACAGAGCAGCACAACAGTGAGACACAAGGGGCTCTGCCATGCCCTGAGCACCACCGGCCCAGGCCCCACAAGCACCAAAGTCTGTTCATTTAACCCACCAACAATCACTGCTCCTGGCTTATTTCCATGGTTCCAATGAATATGCTAGATCTATTTATGTTGAAGATATTTTAAATATCACATACCCTTCTTTCATTGATCATTGATCATTCCTCAACGTCTCCCAAGAAAAATAAGTTTTCAAAGATATATTTAGGTACAGATGGGTTGGGGATTTGAGGAGCACTGGTGTGAGGGTGTGAATGTATGAGTTCGTTAATGAGTGTGTGTGTGTGTGTGTGTGTGAGAGAGAGAGAGAGGGGGGGGGGGGGGGATGGATGGCAGGGGTGGGGGTGGGCGGGAGGGTGGGAAGCGGATGGATGAGATGGTACACTGAGCATGCGAGGCAGATGATAGGACAGACACTCATTCCCAAGAGGGCGGTCATTCTTATTGTTACAGAATTTACCAGGCCACTGAAAAAATATGCAGGAAAAACCCATTTATTTCTAGACATTTCACATGTACCGGCACAGGAGTCGGGAGAATGTTTCTCTCTAAATCCTGAGCAAAAACATGGAGGAAGCATTCCCTTTTTATATCTTTCTAGCCCTTTGTCTCCCAAATAAGGGTTTTCCAGTCTCATTTGCAAATTCTTAAGTAGCCCCATTTACTGGGGCCTTGAGACCACAACTAAAGGCCTGGCCTGGCACCAGCACTGATAACTCTGTCTGGGGATGGTTTATGGCCTTTCTAAAGTGGGAGTAAACAGATCTTGCAGGACCAGGCAATTAAAAGGGCAGTGGCTGGACTATAGGCTAATAAGAATGTGCATTAGGTTAATGGTGCAGATTCAGATTGCTAGCCCCCTAAAAATGTCTCATTTTCCCCATCATTATGATGGCCACAGTGGGTACTGGCACCCTAACACAAGCATGACTCCGAAGATATAACTTCTCTCTCCATCAGCACCTGTCAGGGGTCTCCCTCCTCTTCTCAGAAATTCTCATTCTCAGAACTAAGGGCCCATTCAGTGTGCCAGACCCGCTGGGTGTCTGCAGAGCTGGCAGCCACCATTCCACAGAGATGACCCTACAGTTTGGGGACATAGTGAATTGCTTATACCCTTCCATCTTTCAAACAGATAAGTACAAAGCATTAAGACTTTGAAATTAAAAGACTACAAAGCAACTGTCCACTGTAGAACTCTCAAGTCCCTGGACCTGATCTTCCAGTGTTAAAGTGTTCCTGGCCCAGCGATTTCAGAATCGGGCATTCCCTTCAAACAGAGATTCCCAGCCGAACCCCACCTTCCTGAATCTGAACTTCTGGACTGGGCCTACGAACTTGGATTTTAACCAACTACCCAGGTGATCCTGATGTACAGTCTGAGGCCCAATGCCATGGGCTTCCCACCCACCCCCGCCTTTTCCTTCCTGTTCTCCCTGCCCTGGAGAGCAAAGCCACCCTCTTCTCCACACTGGAGTCACGTAGACAGTATTCTCCAAGTCACTTCCTGCTCGGTGCTCACCAGCAAACAGTGAGACCACAGTGCCTAGCATACCAAGATCTTAGGGACCTGGCAAATGTCACATCAACTTCATGGCACACAGTGTGAAATTTCCACTCAGGGCTGCAAAGAGGAAGTTCAGACAAAATCTGAGACTGAAGGGTGAGCCACTTAGCCTTAGTAACCAGAAAACTTAAGAAGATTTGTTTTTTGTTTTTTTAAATATATTTTTATTGATTTCAGAGAGGAAAGAAGAGGAGAGAGAGAGATAGAAACATCAATGATGAAAGCGAACCACTGACTGGCTGCTTCCTGCACGCTTCCTTCTAGAGACTGAGCCTGCAAACCAGGCATGTGCCCGTAACCAGAATCAAACCCAGGACCCTTGAGTCCACAGATCAGTGCTCTACCCAAACTGGCTAGGGCAAGAGGATTTGTTTTCATTTCAAGAAATATCAAAACACAAGTTCTTTTCCACATGTAGTGGAGAAGTAAACAAAATGTTCAAGTACCTCCTGCAAGTGCCTTAATGAACTCCAGCAAGGGGTCAAATGAGATTGAATGGTAAAAAGCTCTGTAAAACCAAGAGTGTATCATAAGTACAAGGGCTCAGAACACCACTCTAGACTAATCCAAAAAAAGCAAGAATCCAATAGTGTCCAGTTTGACTGGCTTTTTTTCCACAGCAGTAGTCCTCCATTTTTTTCTGCTTCAAAATGCCCAAGAGATGGAAAGGCAATGAGTTTCAGGTTTTTTTAAGAACACAAAAAGCACTAACTATAACAAAAAAATATGAATAAATTGGACTTCCATTCATTAAAAGATAGGATTAAGAGAGTGAAAAGACTTACTACAGAGTAAGGCAAGATATCTGTAATTTATATCTCCAATAAGGCTCATATTACCCAGAATATATAAAGAATGCCAACCAATAAATAAAAAATGAACAACTCAATTAACAAAATGCATAAAAGACTTGAATAGACCATAAAGGAGGACAAACAAATGGCCAAGGAGCACAAGAAATTGAACTCAACATGATGACTCACAGGGAAATACAATGAAAATCACAATGAACCATAACAAACTCCCTCCTGAATGAGCTCATTCAAAGACCATCAATACCAACTCCTGACAAGAACATAGAGCCACTGGAACTCTCATACATGCTGGTAGGAGAGTAAATTGATAAAACCAAACAAAAGTAAACATGGACCCACTCTATGACCTAGCAATTCTACCTCTAGACATATACCCATGTGAAATGAGTGCATATGTCCACCAAAAGACACATTCAGGAATGCTCACAGCTTTATGCATTATGGCCAAAATTTTCAACAACAAAAAGCTAATATCCATCAATAAGAAAATAAATTGTTGTATACTTAAACAATGGAATATCACACAACAATAAAGTAGAATCAAATATTGCTATACACAACATCAAGAATGAATCTCATTGACATAATAATGAGGGGAAAAAAGCTGGACACAAAAGACTATAGAGGGTATATTTCCATTTCTATGATGTTCAAACACTGACAGACATCAGAACAGTAATTTCGTCTTGGGGGAGGGATGTGGGCAATGAATGGGGTATGGACACAAGGATACCTGCTGGGCAACAGAAACTTGATCTGGGTGTTACACAGGCAGAAGGTGTGTGTGGGGATGGGGAACAGGGAGACAAGGGGTTGGTGATTAAGATACAGACTTAAGGTGTTAGGCATCTTGTTGTGATTACACCTTAATTTAAACTGTTTTTTAAATACTTATCAACAATAAAAATATTTTAAAAAATAAAAAGTGTTTTTAAGTAACTTGGGCTCACCAGTTATTCTAAGTCTAGTGCTTCCTTGTTGTGTAAGCCTAGTTGACTAGTAACTGAACTATGCTATTCTTCTTTAAAGTGCAAATTTTAAGAATACCTACCTCATGGGGTTAAATGAGAGATGTATAAGGCATTTCAAAGGGTCAGACACACATTAAATGCTCCCACAATTAGTTATCACAGGGACACATGAGGTGGAAGGGAGGAGGCAGGGTGGTAAGTGTGAGGTAGGATCAAAATTATGGAGGGACATGGACATGTGTGTTTGTTTAAAAAGGAAAAGAAAAGAACCACAGGCACTTCTGATTCTCATGACCCCACCCCCAAAGGCT